TTGTGACTTGCTGCACTCGGGGCTGACAGCCCCTGGAATTCACTGTGGTGCAGTCATTCCCAGAGACCCATGGGCACCCACAGAGAGCTGTTGTTCCTGGCTAATACACGCTATGGCACAATTTTCAATGCCCAGCAAACCGTACTTTTCCTGGGGGAGGTGGCCAGAGATGAGGGAAAGGGGCAGAAAGCAGCCACATCCCAACCTGGATCCGGGTAGAGGAGCTGGCTTGTGACCCTCTGTGACTCCCCATTGCATCCTCTCCGCTGTTTAGGTGTCATTCCCCTGCCGACTCTGTGAGCTACAGGGCAAACCTGCTGATTAAACACTTGTCTTGCCCCAGATTGCCCCAAGATTTCTTCTGCATTGCAGCTCTCACCCCAGAGCGGTCGCCTTAGCACACGCAGCACAGCAAGCTTTGCTGCGTATAGCCAGCTTCTCTGCAGTCACTTCCCATGGCGATTGCCGTAACAGGCCCAACTGCCAGGGTCCTGCTGAGGCCCGGCAGACCCACTGGAGACACCGGCTCATGCTCAGAACAGAGATGTAACAGTGTCGTCAATTCACCCATAAGCAAAAGCTCAGAGGTTAATGTTATAGGCTACACACGTTTCCCTCCACCAGTACATTTTTCAGCAGGCTGCCCAGCAGCCCAGCTCACACCGGGCCCAGGACCTCACCCCGCTGTGGCTCTGCATTTAAAGCGTATTAGGAGCCTGGCAGGCAGGCAACCCAACTCAGTTCCAGCTCATGCAGAGCCTGGGAGCTCAGACCCTTCCCCCCAGACAGGGGCGGCTGCCTCTGTATCAGAGGCAGCAGCATGGGGCGACAGGCAGCCGGTTTGCGAGCGGAGCTGGTTTTTAAATGGCTCCCCTTGCGGATCAGCTCCTGCCTGGCAGCCTGCACTGCTGCCTCGAATACAGAGGCAGCAGCGCAGGGTGGCAGAGGGCTCCCTGGGAGTGGGTCCGGCCCGCACTGGCTCCGGCCCTGCCCCTGGGGACTATCAAATAATCAAATAACCACTAAGAATCCTTGTAGTTAGTTGACTAGTCTATTACCTGCTAGTTCAGAACAGACGCAATGTGGAGATTTTAGTTGCCAGGTCCAAACTTTAACGTTAAAGTCTGTACGGAGCATGTCACAGGGATGGGGCGTTGGCCATTCTCAGCATCCCTGGACCCCCCCTGCACAACGTCAGGCCTCGCCAGAAAAGGGAAGGGGCAGACATCAGCTCAACTTCTGTAGGGATTTTTCAGCCCTTAATCTTGGTCTGAAAAAACAGATGAACGGTTTCAGCTGACGTTTTCCAGAAAACTTGCCTGAGGCAGACTCCCAGCACAGAACATTTCAGCCCAAGTGATTTAGGTTCGGAAAAATTACAGCAACTGAAAACAGGGTCTTAGAACCAAACGTATCAGCCACCTTATTTACCGGGGGTTCTTGGAAGCGCGGCATCACCCTGGAGAGATTGGGCATGGGCATTCTGGGCAGGAATTCCTGGGCATTGTGGAATCAGCCACTGCGCCTGTTTACAGCCACACAGGTCTCGTGCCTTTGCCACATCTCACTGGCACCAGACCGAGCCTGAATCCGGCAGCTTGAACCCAGAACTCCTGAAAGCAGGTGTCAGTCCACGGCTGGCCTTGGTCTTGCAAAGTCTGACACCTGCTCTCAGCTTTGTGCACAGGCGTAACAACAGGGCCGGAGGGTCTGTTCCACACGTGCATGGGGGCGTCTTGCAGGACCGGGGCCCCACTTCGTTAACACTTTGGAGCGGTGAGCTGGGTTTAGGGCTTGTCTACACAAAGCTTTTGTACCACTTCAGCACTGTAGTGCCGCAGGTTATTTACAGAAATGAGCCCTTCTGATAGAGGTACAGGCGGCCCTCGACTTGGGACCCGATCGGTTCCTGGGGAAGCGTCGCAAGTTGGGGGCGTTGTAACTCGGACCCTCATTTCCGATAGGCACCGTGCACCATTGTTAATGCGGGCCGAGGACGTAAGTCGGGGGGTTTCGGCCCCTTCCGCACTTACAAAAAGGGTTGTTAGGGAGGGGGGTGTCGTAACTCGGGTGGGCGGAAGTTTCCCGAACCTCTAAACCAGTTTAACTGCATTCAGGGTAGAGGGAGTTGGTACCAATTTTAATTACATCAGTTTAGAACAGAGACAGTTAACCCTCCCCCAAAGCACTGGCAACAGTAAAGATGAAGGAGTCCGCCCTGCTCTTATTGAACTCCATGACAACATTCCAAAGGAAAGAACTTCACCATCATGCTAACTTAGATGGAAGACACATTGAGAAGGCAACGCACAAGATACCACACAAGTGACAGGCTGTTTTTATTCCTTTCCTAAGGCACAGTAACGTCTTGGTAGTGGCGTAACATGAAATGACACAGCTGAAACGCCCTCTGCATGTGTGACGAGTGCTCTTCAAACAGAACATATGGAAATACCCGACATTAAAGGTTTCTGCTTTTTCCTTAACTAGATAGAAAAAAAATCACCGATTCCTTGTAATAGTCATTAAAATAGTCTCTTTAGATTTGCAAAAATAACCAAGTCTCCGAGTACTGAAAATAGACATGCCTCTCAGCACGGCATGTTAGCGCTTAGTAAAATAGATCATTTGGCGAAAGCACGCTGATTTCCTAGAGGGCAGATCTGCTGGCTTGCAGGACAGACCCCCTAGGAAAGGGGGGGTCTTGTTGTTGGCGTAATTTAGAACTAGGCTGACAAACATCCGCACGCACTTCACAGTAGATAACCAGCCATCACCACCCCCGAGAGGTAGGCTAACTGGTATTACCCCCATTGTACAAGGGGGGAAAGCGAGGCTCGGGGACTTTTCCGAGAGCACATGGCAAATTGCTGTCTGAGCTGGGATTAGAAGAGGTGGGTTTCTGGCACTCAGCCTGCCCTGGGAAAAGACAATGCTGGAGCATTTACGGGAGAGCAGTCCACGTGGATTGTGAGGGGATGACGGGCCTGTCCCCTGCGGCGAGCGCCGTACCAAGGCCGGAGCGAGTGCCCGCGTGGCGCCCGCTGCAGGGTCAGGACCTCAGTGGGCCTTTGGCATCTCTCCTCTCCCCAGCGTACTGAGCTTTGGCATTGGGAGACCCTTCCACGGCAGACGGGTTCCTTTCGTCAGCCGCCCCGCCCCGCCGCGGGCCCCGCCTCAGACCAGCGGAACGGGGTACGAGGCGCACGCAGCGAGGCCACACATGTTCTTGCCACGCTCAATGTAGAAGTAGCTACAAAGGAGACACAGAGGTCGGTGAGCACACCCCTTCCTCCCCTCCGGCACGGTCACCCTCGCGCACTAGCCAATCAGCGCCCAGTCCCGCGGAACGCTGCCTTCGCCCACTGCGTGTGATTGGCTAACCATGCTGTTTCACTGGTTAAAGGGGAGATGGGGGGGCGCTCCAGCCCGGCTGCAGTGCACCCCCCACACCTATCGCCAGTCTGGAGTGCCTCCCGCCCCCCACAGGCATGGGTTGCTCCAACATCCCGGCGGAAGCCGCCCTTCGGGGAAGGTGGGGGGGGTGCTCCCGGCCCCCCCAGCTCCCATTGCGAGGTTCTCACCTGCCCCTGGCCGCCTCGTCCTGAGCTGCAGGGGAGCCCTAGAGAGCTGGCCACTCTCCCCGGGGCAATCCCCCACGGCGCCGGTGGGCAGGAAGCCCTGTATTTGGTTGCTATTGCTCCTTCGAGCTGGGGGTGCTACCTCACCCCAGCATCCCTCACTCCAGCACCCGGCAGGTGAGCCAGGCTTGCGAGGTTCTCACCTGCCCCTGGCCGCCTCGTCCTGAGCTGCAGGGGAGCCCTAGAGAGCTGGCCACTCTCCCCGGGGCAATCCCCCACGGCGCCGGTGGGCAGGAAGCCCTGTATTTGGTTGCTATTGCTCCTTCGAGCTGGGGGTGCTACCTCACCCCAGCATCCCTCACTCCAGCACCCGGCAGGTGAGCCAGGCTGGTGGCTACTTTGCCAGCCCAGCAGCGGGGAGCAGCAACACAGGCCAGGAAGTGTCGTGGGTTAAGCTGCCCCCTGTACAAGGGTCGGTTCCCTCTTCTAGTGTGAGCCCTGAGCCCTCTGAGCAAGGCCCAGCCTCGCTTTGCAGTGGTTGGCTGCTGCTGGTGCCCGTTCCAGGGAGGATCTCGATGGGACCAGCCCGTCGTGCGCTGATGGACGTCGGCCGGGAGCACCTTACCCATCCACGCCCCACGAGGGGCCCCAGGAGTTCTTGACGATCCAGTAGGGAGTTCCGTTTTCTTCTCCGTAGCCCACAGCCAGAACCGCGTGGTTCACTTTGTCCGGAGTGTGGTCGCACTTTGGGCTGCACACAAAAGGCACAACTGAAGCACAGTCGGCGAACGCCTATCCGGTCGTCCGTCGCGGGCTCTGGTGCCGCAAAGGTGCAAAGCGAGATTCGTACCAACAGCCCCACTCACAATGGAAGGGGGCAGCATGTGCGCTTGGGGGTGAAAAAGGACGAGTGTTTGCAGCAGCTGTAACTATTTGCTCAGCCTTAACGTTCCAGGGCCCGATCCAGCCAGCTCTTATGCCCGGCGCACAGTGCTCCAGGGCCCTGGAGCTGGGAGGACCCCCTGTGATGCTCGTCTAGCTCCCTGCTTGGGACTAAGGCATGAGCACGGGACCCCTCGGCCAGGAGCTGCTCTGCATTTGCCACCTCGCTTCTGAAATGACAACGGACAGGGACATGCAGGGGCTGCACTCGCGTCTTGGCTTCCAATCGGTCGCAGTTTACTGCTGGGAAGCCTGGCCCTGATCTGGGACCCACCATGAGCATTTCATTTAACATGTTGGGTTTTGTACCGACCCTGCCCACAGCCAGGGCAGCTGGGTCACTCCGCCGGTGTTTCTGGGCTTAGACAAGTCCCCTTTCCAGGATTATTTAAACCGGGGACCGCGGAAGACGCTCCTGACACCCAAGGGGTAGGGGGGGCACCCCCCAGCAGGGGGGTTCCCAGATTATCTGCATCCAAAGACTTTCTGAAATGCAGGCACTGGCGAGCGGCCGGCGCGAGTGCAGCTCAGAGCCGGCGTAAGCCAAACGCGCCTCTCAACACTCGAGGTTCTGCCAGCCCGGATCAGACCCACGGTTGGGCCGACACATTTCATAAGCTGGTGCGAGACCCCCAAAGGAGCAGAGGCGGAACAATCTCTCCCCGCCCCCCCTTCGGTCTCAGCCTGGTCTCTGCTCGTTTGATATCCCGGCCAAAACGGGCGCCCGGGTCACCCACAGCCCCGCTGGTCTAGTCGTTACGGAGACCTAGACTATCCCGCTGTATCTGGAACATCCACTGGAACGACCCCTCCTCAATCTGCCAATTCTTCACCTCCTCGGCCTCCCGAGGCAACGAGTTCCATCGTCCAATCGCGTGTGAAAACGTGACCTCTCCCCAGGGCTGGCTGGGGGGTGGGGTCTGCCCCCAGCCCCACCCCTTCTGCCGGAGGCCTGGCCCTGCCCCCCATGCTAAGGATGCTGAGCCGAGGCCAGGGTGCACCGCTGAGTCCCGACATCTGCGTTCACCTCTAGCCGCAAACTCAGGTGCCGCTACGATCGCTGGGCTGGTGCCTCGCTTGGCTCTGGACACACACGTCTGTGCGGGGCCCCCGTCCCTGCCTTCGGATTCTCACCCAACAGCCCCGCAGGGGCCAGAGGATCGGGGACCCGCTCAGGCCAAAGGACAGCAGCGCAGATTATCCCTCACCCGGCAGGGTGCGGCTCTGGGCCCCCGGAGTCGCCCCACCGTGCTTGAGCTCTGCGCATCGCCCCTGCTTGGCTCTGGGAGTCGCAGGCGACGCTCTGACAGGTCCCACGTTCCCCTGCGGGGCTGGCTCAAGCAAGCGGCAGCGCCTTCCGGGACGGCTCAAAGACAGGCCGAGCATTCCAAGAGCTCTGTGCCCACGCTCAGCGCAGTCTGTCCGCTGCGAACGCACCACGGGCCGGGAGCGCTGCTCTGCGCCACGCTCCTCTCCCCTTCCCGCGGCCTGCTCCTCGGACCCGGGTCCCACCCCCCTCGGGAGCCCTCAGGGAGACCCGCCAGGGCGGGGGGGTCCCGGCCCCCCCCCCGCCACGGGTCCCCGGCAGCGTCTGCTTCCCGAAACACTCACTTGGAGTACACGCCCTTCCGGTAGCTCAGGAAGTCGTCCGTCACCTCGAACGCGAAGCTCACGGGATTATGCTTCCCCACCGCCTCCACCAGGCCCGCCTCGTCGTACTGGAGGGGGCAGAGCCAAGCGGTTATCCCTGGGCCCGCGGCACTACGGCGCAGGCAGGGCCAGACTGGGCTGGGGGCTGCACCTTCCCGCCTCTGCGGTCGCACGCGGCAGCCCTGTTCCGCAGGGAGCAGCACAACGGGGCTCTCAGGCAGGGTGAGGCCGGCCCTTGCTAGCACCAACAGCCCTTGCTCCCAGGGACCCTGCTGGCAGATCCTTCGGTTCCAGGCCAGCGCGTGGAGGGGGCCAGCAGCAAGAGTCAGCCCCGGGGCACGCCACCTCCGCAGAGGCTGTCTTGTGCTCTCTGACTGCCCCCCAGAGGCAGCCGGAGTTTGCTGCAGGCCGGACAGGTGAGCCGAACGAGAGCAGCATGAACCACCAACAGCCCTTGCTCCCAGGGACCCTGCTGGCAGATCCTTCGGTTCCAGGCCAGCGCGTGGAGGGGGCCAGCAGCAAGAGTCAGCCCCGGGGCACGCCACCTCCGCAGAGGCTGTCTTGTGCTCTCTGACTGCCCCCCAGAGGCAGCCGGAGTTTGCTGCAGGCCGGACAGGTGAGCCGAACGAGAGCAGCATGAACGGAGCAGGAGGGGCGGCCCTGGTCCCTTCTGGAGTCACGCTGGCCTGCAAATACTTCCTGCGCCCGCGCCCGTGCACAGCGGTGAGGGAAGCTGGTTATGTTCAGCCCCGCAGGCACCAGGCTCTGCCAGAAGGCAGGACGAGCGGCCGCACCTGCGCATCCCCAGGTAAATAAAGCGTCTGGCAACCCGCCAGGGGTAACCCCGGCTCCCCGCGTCCAGCCTGCAGGCCACTTGTTGCCCACCCCGCTCTGCGCCCGGCCTTGGAGGCACAGGCCCGAGCTGCTTCCCCAGCAAGTGTCAGGGAGACCAAAGAGCACCCAGCGGGGACGCCGAACGGTCCTGGCGAGCAAGGGCACCCCCAGGCACGCCCTGGCCACGTCCCGGCCAGCCCACGTCAAACCCTCCAGCCACTGACGTGGCCAGCTGACCGCCAGCCCGCCCAGGGAGCGGTGCACCAGGAGGAAGAATTCGCCCGGCGGCAGAGCCAAGGCGTGCGCAGGGCTCCCCGCGGCCCCGGGCACTCGCCTGGGTGATGTTGATGACGTCCTTGACGAAAGCGATGGCCTTGTCGCGCTGGAACTTGCAGGTGCCGTTCTGTGGGGACGCAAAGGAACGGAGGTTACAACGGCCCCCACCGGCCCGGCCAGCGTTTGATCGCGCTGCTGCCGCCTGGGGCGTACCTGAGCCTGGTACGGGTACGTCTCCTCGCCCTGGAGCCCGTGGTTATACAGGATGTCTTTTGAAATCAAAAACCCTCATCTCAGATTTATTTTTGTTTATTCTTCCATTTAATTTGAACTGAATTAGCTCATGATCACTCGAGCCCAGGTTGTCCCCTACAACCATGTCATCTATGAGGTCCTCGCTACTCACCAAAACCAAATCGAAAATAGCATCCCCCTTGTTGGTTCAGCAACTACTTGATGAAGGAATTCATCAGCTATCACATCTAGGAAAATCTGAGCCCTATTATTATTACTAGCACTTGTTCTCCAATCTATATCTGGAAAGTTGAAGTCTCCCATGATTATGCAGTTTCCATGAGTATTTACTTCATTAAAAACATTAAAGAGGTCTCTATCCATATCCAGATTGAATCCTGGTGGTCCATAGCACACCCCAAGCGCTATCCCAGGGGAGGAGCTGATAGTTTTCTTCCCCAATGTGATTTTTGCCCAAACAGACTCTGTCTTCTCCATTCCTGCCCCTTGAGATCCATACACAGAGCATAAGAACATCAGCGCAGCCAAACAGGGTCAGACCAAGGGTCTATCCAGCCCCGTGTCCTGTCTGCCCAGTGGCCAGTGCCAGGGGCCCCAGAGGGAGGGAACACAACAGGGAATCATCACATGATCCCTCCCCTGTCACCCACCTCCAGACAAACCGAGGCTAGTTACACCATTCCTACCCATCCTGGCCAATAGCCATTGATGGACCTGACCTCCATGAATCTATCAAGCTCTTTTTTGAACCCTGTTAAAGTCCTGGCCTTCATCACATCCTATGGCAAGGAGTTCCACAGGTTGACTGTGCACTGAGTGAAGAAAAACTTCCTTTGGTTTGTTTTAAACATGCTGCCTATTAAGAGGCGCCAAGCCTGGACTCTGCTCAGCCCCCTCCCCCTTCCCCCAAACACACTGACCAAGGAAGCGTGATGGGCACGAGGGGGTAGGCTACAGAGGAGGGAGAAGTTAACCGGTTACCTGGTAAGAGTTAGGCTACCCAAAGGCCTCCCAGGGAACCAGCTGGACGGCCAAACACACTGACCAAGGAAGCGTGATGGGCACGAGGGGGTAGGCTACAGAGGAGGGAGAAGTTAACCGGTTACCTGGTAAGAGTTAGGCTACCCAAAGGCCTCCCAGGGAACCAGCTGGACGGTGGCATTGGCCCGGGCGGGAAGGCAGAGCCCTGGCCCTGGCTGTGGGGGGAAGGGGGAGGGGCAGCAGGCAGAGCTGTGTCCGCGTGGACCCAGCTGCGTGGCATTGGCCCGGGCGGGAAGGCAGAGCCCTGGCCCCGGCTGTGGGGGGGCAGCAGGCAGAGCTGTGTGTCCGCGTGGACCCAGCTGCGTGGCATTGGCCCGGGTGGGAAGGCAGAGCCCTGGCCCCGGCTGTGGGGGGGCAGCAGGCAGAGCTGTGTCCGCGTGGACCCAGCTGCGTGGCATTGGCCCGGGCGGGAAGGCAGAGCCCTGGCCCCGGCTGTGGGGGGGGCAGCAGGCAGAGCTGTGTCCGCGTGGACCCAGCTGCGTGGCCTTGGCCCGGGCGGGACGGCAGAGCC